CTCCAAGGTTTGCATCCAGGGTAGTGAAAAGAATGCTTTCTCAGAGCAGCAAGGAACTATACCTGCAGCCTTTTTGAAAGCCAGCTCTAAGGCCACCTCCAGGGTATGCAAAAAAAAAAAAAAACACACAAATGCAGCAAGAGCCAGGCTTTTCTATCTGAGGAGTAGATAAGGAAGCACAAATTTTCTTGGGATAACTTTATCTTTTACTTCATCTTGAATGATCTCATTTTCTTGGCAATCTCTTCGCACAGTTACATCTGTTTACATACAGTTACCCATCTCTCCTTACATACATCTTTCTTCTGCACAGCCATACATTTGTGCACACAGTTACATCTCTTTTCACACAGTTATATCTCTTTCTCCAGCTACATCTATCTTCTACATGCCGTGCATCTCTATAAAGAGTTGCATCTATTTTCACAATTCTCTATACAGTTTTATGTTTCTTCTTTACATAGTCACATCTCTCTCCACACAGTCATATACTTTTTTCTACACATACGTCTCTCTTCTATACAGTCACATCTTCTGTATCTCTTTAGCCACCCAGATGCATCTGTTCACAATTCTTTCTCTCTGCACATTCAGCCACATCTCCTTTTCAGTACTCACACATACCTTCTCTCACATCTTTCTCCTAATTCTCTCTCTGCAATTTCTTTCGATACACACACACACACACACACACACACACACACACCTCATCTCTCCTACTCTTCCCTCACACTCCTCTCCCTGCACATTTGGCTACATCTCCCTACCATCACACACACATACACACCTCTCTCGCATTTCTCTCCTAATTCCCCCTACACCTCTTCTGCTTCTTCTCACAGACAAAATGTTTGCACAAATATGCATCACATTTTCAGGGTCAGTCAGCTTCTTGAGTAAACAATAAGAAACAGCCAAACTGATCACACAGTTTCTCTCAGGCTAGAGAGGTAACGCTGACCAGTCAGTGAGTAAAGTAAGCACACAGCTCTGAGTGGTCAGGGTTCCCAGACATAAAGGGACATTGTAATTCAGACCTTAAACAATAACAAGTTGGTTGGACGAACCTTGAGGTTTCGAGTATGTGCAGAAGGTCCATGGCTGAGAAAGTTATGCCTACTCAAGTTGCTTTATGTATTGATCTTGAATCAACAATAAACACCAGGGAAACTGACCTTGTGTATTTGTCTCCAGGGGCAACCAGTTTGCTTTGAATTTGTTCTGAAGTCTAAAATCAGTTAAATGTGTAAAAGGCTGTCTTTGTCCTAGCATTATTTCTATTTATCAGAGTTATAAAGTTAAGCAGAAATCGTCTTCCTGACTATACACAGCTATATGTGTGCACAGTAGAATGGAATATATATATATCTCACAAGCGGTGGGGGAAATACCCATAGCTGTTCTTAGTTGAGACAAATTACAGTCCTGTACAGTCAGTGGCCCCACGGTCTTTTCCCAGTGAGGTTCCCCATCAGAGAGTTTTTCATCTGGTGGCTCGACCTGTCAAATCCTAGTTGTCAACTGCTGTATATTTCCACGGCCTCTGGCAGATGACAACCATTGCTTCCTAAGTGATTGGGTGGCATCTTCCCTCTGTTCCTGTAGGCTGTACTTCACAGCACACACATATTAGGCAAAACTCCTTTCAACTTTTATGAGAGAGAATTTCTTACTTGAGTCCTATTAGACTGAAAACAAGTTGTCAACAACAGAAGAAATTTGTTTCAAAATCAAAAATGGCTGTGATAGAAGAGAAACAAGTCTCCTTTACAATGGTGCTTCTTATGATGCGATGCTTAGCTATCACCACAAGAAATTTGGTAAAATTTGATTCTCCTGATTTTTGAAAGAGTCAGGTTGCAGGAATGAACTCAAGAAAACATGGAGAAAGGGGAACAAGGAATACAAATGAATGAGAATACTAGGCACATACACAAGCAATCAGGAATACTTACCAGCATGAATTTTGAGAATAGGTGTGTTGTGGGTGAGAAAGAAAGCACTGCTCATGGAAACGCAGCCATTTTTCTTCTGCGTTGGGTTGTCTTCAACCTTAAGAGCTGTTCTCATTGAAATATACATAGGTATTGGTGATGTTAGAAAAATAAAGACATTGTTTCCAGCTGGCTCAAGGTAACCACTATATCTGCATTATTGATGCCTACTTGGAAGCTCTTTCTTTTCTGTTAATTATCCTTAATAACAATAATTTGCCTGGACATCCCCAAGAGTGAGCTGCTAATCATTCTTTGCCCCAGACCCAGTCAATCACTCCGTAAGACTCAAAGATTAGAGCTAGATCAGTGTGTTCCTTTCCTTCCCACATTGCGACCTCAATCCAGGCATTTGCCACCTCTCTCTTGAGTCTTCAACATGACCTCCACCTCTCTCTTGAGTCTTCAACATGACCTCCACCTCTCTCTTGAGTCTTCAACATGACCTCCACCTGTCACTAATCCCTACCACTATTCCCATCTGTGTGATTTATCCTATCTGATTAAAACTTTGGTTGCCCGGCTCCCGCAGGGAAATTTCCACCTCTCTTTGGGATCGTAAACCTCACTTCTGAGTTTACAGTTTACAACCTATTCTACTCTGTCCCGTTTTAGTACTGTGGTATCGGAATGGCTTCCTGTCTGCAAGCATTTTACAGAACATAAGTTCCTTAAGTCAAAAGGTACCAATTATGAGTAGTGAACACTTTTTCACATCTTGCCCTTTCTATCTTTTTTACACTCTGTTTTCTTGGCTCTTTTTCTTTTTTTAATATCTAGTGAACTTTTATTCCTCAAACTTTTAATAGTGTAGCCTAAGCTGGGTACAGAAGCACATCCCTTTAATCCAAGAGCCCTCAAGTCAGAGGCACGGATCAACCAATCTTATTTACAGAGTGAGTTACAAGTCAGTCAGGGCTATTTAGTGAGTATGTGTCTCAATAAACAAATGATGAAACTCTCTCTCTCTCTCTCTCTCTCTCTCTCTCTCTCTCTCTCTCTCACACACACACACACACACACACACACTGTAGCCTTCTTGATAAAAATCTCCCACCTTATACCTCCTCCAAAGGGGTAATTTTTTCTTATGTAACCTTTGAAAAACTGAGTTGCAGCATCTTGTTTCCGTATCTGTCTCCTCTACTAATGCACAAAGATGCTAAAGGCAAAGCACATATCAAAACCTTTAGGTACTATGGTGATTTGTGATGTATTTTAATGTCACAGGTAACAACACGAAGATTGCTTTTGAATTAGTGAACACTTTCATTTCATATTTGCCAAAAGTTTTCATGAAAAGCAAAAACATATCACTGAATGCTATTTGAGGAATCAGAAATTAAGTACATAGCAGCTTTTATGTGGGAAAATGGTGGTCTCAACGACGTGCTGTTCCTAGAAGAAGTAGTGCACTGGGGAATCTGGGACAAATGAACACATGGGACATGTCTTAGGTGCCCTGAACACAACTCACAAGCTGTGAGATTTTGTTGGAGATGCCAATAAAATACAATGAACCCTGGTCATGTGAAAGTGATGCTTCTACTTTTCTGAAAACTGTTTTGTATTTATGTTATTTTATTTATGTGTATGGGTGTTTTGCTTACATGCGTATCTGTGCACCACATGAATGCAGTACCTGCACAGGCCAGAAGAGGGAGGGAGGTGGTACCCGGGAACTGGAGATACAGATTGTGAGTCACCATGAGGGTACTGGAAATCAAATCTAGGTCGTCTGGAAGAGCAGCAAATGTTCTTAACCTCTGATCTCTCTCTCTCTCTCTCTCTCTCTCTCTCTCTCTCTCTCTCTCTCTCTCTTTCTCCCTCCCCCCATATGGTTACTTTAAAAGTTAAGAATTTCTTAAGATTATTTTAAGTCTTAAAGTCTTTTATTTTTAATCAATTGTAACCGATGGAACCATGCAAAGTTGTGCTTAAAATCTTCCTTCTTTAAATGACATAAAATATATCTTACAAAGTATAAAATTTTGAATATGATTTTTATATTTCACTATCAAGTATTTAAATTTCCAGTATGCCACACAAAAATCAGTGCAAAGGAATCGTCCCATTGATAGAAGTTAGCTATAATATGTGCTGTGCTTGTGGTTTGGGGAGGGTATGCACACTATCGTGTTCTCGCTGAGATTCAAGGAACCCAGTGCTACTTAGCAAGGCAAATTGTTTGGCAAGGAAATGAATGTAAGAAATGCACCTGTTTCAGAGACAGAGACCTGCATCAGAGAACTGGACTAAGCTCCCAAAGTCCAGTTGAAGAGTTGGAAGAGAGAATATAAGGAAAGATGTCAAGACTATCATGGGCACACCCACCGAAACAGTGTACCTGAGCTAATGGGAGCTCACCAACACCAGCTGGACAGGGAAGGAACCAGCATAGACTCAAACTAGGCTCTCAGAATGTGGTTGACAGTTGCATGGCTGGGGCAGGATTTGTCCCTGCTGCTAGTACTGGCTTTTTGGGAACCTATTCTCTTAGGATGGATACCTTTCTCAGCCTAGATATGACCTTCCCCAAAACAATGTACCTTCCCCTCTCTGAGGAGTGGATGGGGTGGTGGGGTCTGTGGGAAGGTGGAGGAAATGGGAGTGGGAACTGGGATTGGTATGCAAAATGAAAAAAGATAGTTTGTTTTCTTTTAAAAAATAAAATAAAGAAAAAAGAATTTAGCAATGAAAAAGAAAAAAATGTGGAAGTTTCTGCGGTCATGTCCTCCTGTTGTCCTCCGTCTCCTCTGACTCCTGCAATCCTTTTCCCTTCCTTCTGCAGGGTTCCCTGACTTCTGAGGGACCCGATGGGGATCTCTAATTTATACTCTTTCCCCACTGAATCTATTTTCAATTAAAGGAAGAAAGAAAGAAAGAAAGAAAGAAAGAAAGAAAGAAAGAAAGAAAGAAAGAAAAAAAGAAAGAAGGAAATGCCCATGAGAAAGAACCATGATGAAGTCTAATGAATTGCTACTATTTTTTATTGTCTTATCTCAGACCAGTTGAATTTTCAGAAACTGAATACCCACGAATTGAGTACCAAAGAAGAGAGCAACAATTTTGGGACCCTATTCGACTCTCTCTGTTTACGTTGGCAATTGTAGCAATCATAGGAATCACAATCGGCATTGTCACTCATTTCGTTGTTGAAGGTAAGTCTTCAGGTCATGTCTTGAGTGTACAAGTGACTCTGTTGCATAAAATTTGACATCTTGATAACATTGTAAATATAGTTTTCATTCATGTAAAAGTATAGTTTGCTAAGAACAGAAAGTCTACATTACACATTTCTGAATATTAAAAGTTTAAATAAAGACTACACTGATAGGCACATGTAAATGAAACACTAAGAATTAAAAAAAAAACAAAAAATATTTTCAAAGTAAGGACGAATAACATCAAGTTGAGTACTCTTCTCAGAATCAAGACATTTCTGAATCTCCTATAGAAAGCTTGTGATAGAAAGGACTCAGTAGTCTTAGCTAGTAGTCCCAGTATCCAAGAAACTGCAGCAGGAGAATTACAAGTTCAAGGACTGCCTGAGTTACAGACTGAAGTCAAGGTCAGCCACCTCCAATGAACAGGCTATCTCAAGATTAAAAGTAAAGAATGCCGAGAATATTGTTCAGTAGAAGTGCAACTGCCTAGGAGGTGCTAGGTTGTGGATTCAGATCCCCCATACCACAAAGAAATAAAGACATGAAAAGAAATAAAAGTAAGAAGGAAGAAAGGAAGGAAGGAAAGAAGGAAGGAAGGAAGGAAGAAAGGAAGGAAAGAAGGAAGGAAGAGGGGTTAGAACAAAGGAGAAGGGAAATAAAAAAAAAGGAGGGGAAGAAAGGAGAAAGTAACAGCTTATTATATAAAAATGTTACCCCAAAAATATCTTGAAGAAGCCAAAGCCAACATTATGTTTGAAAGAAAAATTATATCATGACTGGGGGAGAAAGGAAAACTCAGAATTAATTCTAACTGTATTGAAAATAGTATCAGGAAAAGTCACATGACACACAGCTAAGATCCACTTACATTTGTCTTAGCATATTTATAAACATAAATGACTGATACTTTGTTTAAATATTTAGTGACTCCCATAAGTCCTTTTTATTTTTTGATGTTTTAATATACTAAAATGTATTGAGATATAAATAGATATAAACATCCCTTAAAAATACCTGTCACTGAAGAAAATAATAGAAGCTCTTATAAAATAACTCAGTTATATAATCTTGTGACGATATGCATTGAGATACAGTCTGGATCCATTAAGACACTGCATGTAAAAAGTGATTGATTAGAACGTGGTGTCTGCTACAAACTTGACAAATATCGGCTCATTCATCTACATGCATGAAAAAGAATTAAGCCGTGATCATAAAAGTGAAACCATATATACAATCAAATGCAGCATAAATTATTTAGGTAAAAATAATTGGTTATGCATCTTTTTCAACTTTTAAGTGAGCAATAAGAAACAAAATACTGGCTGGCATGGTGGTGCATACCTCTAGTCCCAGCACCCTGAAAGCAGAGACAGGCAATCTCGGTGAGTCTGAGGCCAGCCTGGTTAGCAGAGTGAGTTCCAGAACAGCCAGAATTTTTTAGAGAGACCATTAAAAAAAAAAGGAAAGAAAAAGAAAAAAACAGAAAAATTTCTTAGAATTAACTCATAAACAACAAAAAGATATAAAATTGTGGTGGTATTCCATCTCAACTAGATTAAACAACAGTTTAAACAGAAAAAATAAACCAAATAGTAACATTAAGTACTTGTAGGTATTAGTATTAGGCTATGTTTATTCTCTTATAAATGTAATTCTTACTAATTCCAGATCTTTGATATAATTTTTGATCTAAAAATGTTCTCAAATGAAACTGTAATTAAATTAAAATGGGAATTTTAACATGAAATGCTGTGTAATTTGTAAGTACAGAGTATTGAAATAGCTATTTCTTAATTCAGTACTTTATTTAAAAAAAAGCTTAGGACAATTATGGTTCTGGATTCTTTTCCTAATATTATCGGAAATGTTTCTGCCTCTTTGAATGAAAAGTAGTTCAAAGTTCCTCTCCAGAATTTGGCCTCCTATTGAAAAAAAAAAAGCATAAACTTTTAGAATACCACAATAGGCGCTCTTCAAAGTGTAGTATAGCGTTTTAGTTGTGGTTGCTGGCTCAGTGCGAGTGCTTTCAATACCATCTTGAAAAGAGGTAACGTCAAGAATAGGATGAAACAGTAGAGAACACCCTATGGAAGAGATTTCTAGGGAAAGTAACAGTAGAAACAAAATCTTGAGGGAGATGCTAAAGAAAGAAAAGCACAGTTTTGCTGTTGCTTCAACACAAAATCTAAGTATGTAGAAAAGAAGACTCCTTCCCATGATAATGCAAAAAAGGAAAGGCTTTAGGTAAGCAAGTTATATCACCAAATTGGCAGTCACGAGGACAGCTCTCCACAGAACAGGCTACTGTGTGGGGAATGGGAGAAAAGGCAGGGGTACTCACAAGAAGTATGTATTGTCTTGATGACAAAAGCACAAACTGGATTGCTGGTGATAGGGGAATTTATTAAGAGAATAGATTTTTAAAATTTGGGCCATTGTGTCATCAAAATCCTGCATGTGATAAGTCTATATTAACAGTTCAAAGGAATAAAGCACACGACTTTTATGATTTCTTTTGATATTGATTTTTCATTATATGTTGCATGTCAAATGTAGGATAATTTTGATGTGCATGTGCGTGTGTATCAGTCAGCGTTCTTTTGGAGCTGAGTTTTCTGTTTTGGCTGACTGCAATGATATGATGAAATTACAAGCTGGGATTTTTGAGTTCTACAATAACTTTTGTTTTAAATGGAAATAGATTTATCAGGGGTGGGAACAAGGAACACAGCACATGTAACCCAGCATCTTCCATGCTTGCCTTTCAGATGATAAGTCATTCTATTACCTCGCCTCTTTTCAAGTCACAAACATCAAATACAAAGAAAATTATGGGGTGAGGTCATCAAGAGAGTTTATAGAAAGAAGTCATCAGATTGAGAGAATGGTAAGCTCAATGAGAAATCTTGATCTAGTCCTTAAAATTTAACAATCTGACTCTTCAGATTTGTCATGCTAGCAGGCTGTATCTCACTAAGGAATTAATTTTCATTTCCCTATTTATTAATTAAATATCACAATGGTTATCTGCTGTGTACATTTCTTTTCTGTTAGTGTTGTTAATGATTTTGCTCTTTTATATATAAACTTTTATCAGTAATATATATTGAAAATAACCTTTATACATTTGTTCTTTGCAATTTTTTTACTGTTATACTATATTTATATGGACAGGTGATATAAACTTTAAAATATTATTGATATTATTTTCTAATCAGTACCATTTGTATTTGCATGAGAAAACACGCTGATTCAATATAATTACCTTTTAAGACCCTGGCTTTGCCTTTTGCATTTAAAAATTATGCTATATGTAACTGAGTCACGTGCATGTTTGAATTAAATAACCAAATCATTTTTTCCAAAAATAAAAGTCAGTGTTCTTAGGACTACTATGGTACAATAGTCAGTCCCATGCTTACCTGTCAGACCAGCTCCTCCACAAATGCAGTTTCAGCCCGCTAACTGAGGTGTATAACATCTTCCATTGCTCAAACTATTTTTCACTCTATAAGTAGCATCTGAGGTGCATGCATGGGCAGCCCATATATGGCGGTTCTGTTGAACTTGTCCATATTGGGTTTCATGGTCTAAGTTGATGAGGACGAGCATCTGCTGTGTCATTATATAAATCAACAGTGAGTGTTGATCTTTGTGACATTAGTTTGTTGGGGCTACCATAGAAAATTACCACAAAACTGTGTGGTTTAAAGCAATAGAATATTCTTTTTCTTTAACTGTTTTAAAAGGCAAAAGTAGGAGAACCAAGTGTCAGCTGTGCCAGGAAAGGCTATGGCAAAGAATTATCCTTATCTATTTCAGCCTCCGGCTACTCCAAGAGTCCCTTCATCTGTTGCTGCAAACAGTGAAATCTATATCTGTCTTCTTCTTCACAAGGTCTTCCTCCTCATTTCTCTATAGTTTTTCATTCTTATGAGACTTTTAAATATTGAATTTAATGCCCTCCAGAGCAATCTATCTTCAGATCTCTCATTTTAAGATAAATAGCTTAATAATACCATATTTACTGATTTATGAACTCATATATTCTCCAGAATGTACATTCAGTACATCCAATACATCTAGCATTCTAGTCTTCTTTGAGTTTATCTTGGAAAATATTGCATTTTTGCTTTTCTGTATCAAACATACATACACACAAACATACACACACATAGACACATACAAACACAAAAACACAGACATACACATAGACACACATACAGACACACACACACAGGCATGCACACACAGAGACCCCCACACAGACACACATACATACACACAACACAGAGACACACACAGAGACACACATTTCCATGTTAGGATTTGATTTAACATGCTTCAAATGTAGAGGGCCACACAAAATAAGTAACTAATTTAGGACTTCTTTGATGTATTTCATTAAAACTTTAAATTGCTCCTTTAAAGTATTACCTTTTTTTTTTAGAAATGTATTCTTGCTTGAAAATTTTATACATGTATACAATGTATCTTGGTCATATCTACACTTCACTTCCAATCCCCACGTTTCCTCAACACTCTACACCTTATTCCAGTATAAACAGCACTAATTGGATTCCATGGATTAAAGGAAAACTAAATAAATAATTACTTGCTTTCCCTGCAGTTAGAGTGGCAGGTGGCTGTGAGCTGCCCAAAGTGGGTGCTTGGACAGAGCCTAGGTACTTTGGAAGAGCAGCCAATACTGAATTGTTGAGCCATCTCTCTAGCCAGCTACTTGTAGTGGCACTTCAATTGTATTTTAATAAATAGAGCTTGCCTGGGGATCGGGAGAGTAAAACGGCCACACTGGTCAGTTTTACAGCCAGGCAATGGTAACACACACCTTTAATCCCATAGTTGCCATAGAAACTGGGTGGTGCTTGTCTTTAATCCCAGTGGTGCACGCCTTTAATCCCAGGGCTAGAGAGGATTATAAAGTGGGAGAAAACAGCTCTCAGACACAGTCTCCTTCTGAGATTCTTGGAGGCAGGATCGCCATTTTGTACTGAGGTCGAGCCAGTGACTGGCTGCTTTGATTTTTGGGTCTACAAGTTGAACCCCAATATCAATCCCTGAGTTTTTATTAATCGTACTTCAGTTATTTTTCTTTTGTTGTCTGAGTTCAAGACATGAAATAAATCTCTCATCTATTAAGGAAATCTTTTTCCTACTTTTTATCAGTGTTTGAGCTTATCCTTACTCTTATATCTAACATAATTTTAGTGAGGTCTTTAAAGAGAAGTCTGTCATCTTGAACCTAAATCCATTCATTTTGATGTAGTCCACATTCACCTTTTCATAATTGCTAGTTCTTAGGAGTCAGTGTCTCCTTAATGCTACTTCTGTCTTTGAATATTTTATTTGCTGTTTTCTTCCTAATTTCTCATTCTAGATCCACTTTTTCAAAGGACAGCAAACAGAATTAAAGTGTTTGTACAGTAAAGACTTATACACAATAAGCAAATGAGGGTTTCCTAATTGATTATAGTATCTTTTAAGAAGAAGCAACCCACAAGTTTTCATTCATGAGTACCAGAAACTATTGTGCTTCTAAGAAATGTAGAAAACATTTCGTAGTCTCTCAGTTTTAATTATTTTTCTCTCACCTTTCTTTTATGCCAGCTGCAACTTTCCAGTTATTGATTCTTTCCACTCCAAACATATTTGCGATGGTAACCAAAAACTGTAGCTTAGGACTCATTCACCTATTTTTCTATCTATTCAATAAAATTATAAATTGTTTTTTGTATCCATTTTGTGAATATTTATAGAATCTATTTTCTAAGATTATGTCAAATCATGATCATAGATAGTAATCTGTTTTTCATTAGTGGCCAAGAGATTGGCTAAATAAAGCATTATGACTGTATAGAATTATTTATGAACATTTGAATCAATGCTTTATATCACGGTCCTCAGTAGAAATATTAAAGTTAGTCATTGTTCTTAGTACCTTTCTCTGTCTACAAACAACCTGTGATGTCAGGGCTGCACCATGATTAGGGTTGCCGTGGACTTCTCTGTTTGATCACTTGTATAATACTCTGCTCTTTGGGGCAGAGTCAAGACAGATTAAAAAAAAGCAAGTATGAAAAGCTGGGGATGGGCAAAGCACTCTTTCTTAGAAACAAGCACATCAGTTGGTTGCCCAGTGGCAAATGATCAACCCTGAAAACATGCATACGGGTAGCAGTATGTGCACTGAACATGATGTATTTATCAATATATAAAAGACATGAATTTGAAGAAGAGTAGGGAGGGATATTCAGGAGGATATAGAGGGAGAAAAGGGAAGGGAGAAATGTTGTAATTAAAATACATTCCTCCCCCCCAAAGAAAAAGACAAGATTATAATTGGTTTCATTCTCAGTTTGGCTGGTTTGACCAGTTAAAGCTGTTCACTTTATAGCCATCAAATCCTGTGTGCTGTAAGAACATTCACTGAAATCCATTTTAGGAGTTTTTAAACATTCTAAAACAACACTAATGCTTGAGGATCTGCATTAAGGTTCCTCCCATTATCTTTCTATTCAAGGATATAACATTTGAAATATCAAAAATGCACAAGATACAAACTCTTACTTTTCCACTGACGTTTACTGAATATTTTCCTCACTGCAGACTAAGCCTCATCTAAAAATTGGGAATTAGTGATAACAGAACTTCCAAGGAGAGGACACAGTGTTCTCTGGTTTTAGAGAACTTATTCTTATCTGTTTTGAGTCACAAGAAGCAAATTCTGTGTCTGGAAGTTCCCGATATTAATGAAGATTTCTGATTAAATGATTTTTTGGACTAATAATTCCAGGAAATTTTATGTAGAATGTAGAGACAGAAGGAATGTATACAGGAAGAATATTAGCAAGGATGTGGTTTCAAAAGTCCAGGCTCAGCTTGATTTGTCTGGAAGATCTGGGGCTTAGGTTACATCACAAAGGTGATTCCGAGCAGACATAGTGGGGCTGGGCTGTTTGTCATACACCAAGAGGTGATGCCTAAAAAAGGTAAAGAATAACTTCCCAGACATCACTGGGCAAGTTTCCCAGGTCAGACAAGGACAAGGCTGCAGGAAGTACAGATGCAAGGTGTTATCACCCAGCACTCACAGACACTGGTACATCTATCCACTAACTACATTTAGTTAATACGATCATAACTTTATTGTGGAATAATATTCACATGCTGAAATTTCTCATCACAATTCACTGTAATGTAAAGAAAAAACTAAAGACCTAAGAAATTTCTTGTCCTTTTGATTTAACTTTTAATGACTGAGCCATCTCTCCAGTCTGTTTTAAGAAATTTCTAAAAAAATAAGACATTTTTTATTTGTTGGATAAGCAACTATAAAAGTAAATCTTTATTGGTCAACATCTCTAAATCACCTGAGGGATAGTCTGATGTTGCTTCTCTTCCTGTTTGTTAGTGCTGTTCTCCTCTGTTGACATTAGAACACATTCGGGGTTAAATCGCATTAAACAAGCATAAGTTAAAACATAGATAAATAAAATGAAGACAGTGGGAAAAAGTACAGACTCACTTGGTTGGGCTAGTGTTGTTCCTTATTTTATTTCACATTGAAAAATACAGCTAATGCCAGCTTAATGTACTTTTCCAAGTTAGTAACTGAAGCAGTGGGGCATTTCCCCATGACCATCCTTAGATGGATGCTTCAAGAAGCAGTCATATTTGGTTGGCCAAATTTAGAATTAAAGAATAGTCAAGATGTTTAAATTCTGCCAATCTTGTGAGTCAAGGAGATAAGTTTAGCTCCATTTGAACTATATAGATAAAGCTTCACCCTCATTCAATAGTCTACCTAGTGTTTATACTTGAAGGCATCTCAATTTTATCTAGTTTAAATGCCCTTTTTAAAGACCGTGCCCACTAGTGCTTTTTCACCATGAATTTTCAATGAACAATTGTGTCTACCTCATTGCCAGAGCACCTACACTTCCATTATCCACACGCCTATTCTAGTCACAAGGCACATCTCTACCTACCTCTAATCTATAATCTCCATTCTAGACTAGCCAGGATAAGAGCTCACATATTCACATCAATTATCACTGCTTCCACTCAGGATCCATCTCACATATACAAAGAAATCAGAACGACCTTTTGAAAATGAAATATTGTATTTGTTTTCTTACATTTTCTTAACGGCTTCTAAATATTCTTAAAATAAAACCTAAGCTCTTCACCCAAGTTCCCAACTGCTCGCCTGCCTCAGCTCTAACTGCTCCCTCTCTACACTCTGCCTTGCTCACTTTGCTTTGCCCGTATTGGCCTTCTTTCGGATTCTTTGCACATTCTGTTCCTTCCCCATAGAAGACTATCTCAGCATCATCTGAAATACCACTTAAGCCTCATCTACTTAGAGATCCCTTCTCTTACAGTCTCTCAGGTGTTGATAATCAATGTCTGTTTTATTACTATCTAACCGTATTTTTAATTTAAGCTTGGCACCATTTTTGTTCAGGACTGTTTATCCAGTGTCTACTACAATGCCTTGAACACAGGGGACTTACGTTTGTTCTGAATGAATAATTCAGTGATATAAAAGAAAAAGACAGCAATAATAAGAGTCAAAATCCAGTATAAGATCTGGGTTTTTTGTTTTGTTTTGTCTTTACAATGCTGATTAAGCTGAGCCATTACTATAGATAGTCAATTATTAATGAATATGTAATTACTCAATCACATATACTTTCTGCAAAGCTATAAATGATGCCAAGGTCAGCACAGTCCCTTCTGGCAAAGAAATTATACTCTTGATTATTAATGGAAGATAATTCATGGAAAAGAATAAAATCAAAATTAAAATTAAGTAATGACAGAATGGAGCAGTCTGAGAGCTTTCACCTCGGTACATAACTGCTAATTGTGTGATTTGAGTGATCAGGATTTTGGAGATCAGAGGAAGGAAACTTGTGGAATCCATAGAAGGCTTTTCTGGAGCGGCCCGTTCTATCAGTGTACTCTCCCTCTACTGGTCTATAGCCACCTTTATAGTAGAAGAATACCTGTGCAACTTGCCTTATTTTCATAGGTAGACATCAAAAAGAATTCTCCATCGGTATCTCTTGTTATACAGGAGTAGTTGATCTTTCTCAAGAACTTAGTCTTTGTACAGCTGCTTGCCTGAGGACAAAGATTAAAAATCCAAATAGTAACTGAGCAGCCATGAGCCTACACACTGTTTCAAGTGTACTTTACTTTTTTAGTGCTGGAATTAAATCCAAGGAAGACAATAAAGATGTGTTTTAAGATGAATGAATAATTTTAGCATCTGTTTAGACATAAAATTTTTAAGTGAAATAATCATTACCATAACTACGTTTAGAGTTGAACCATAAAAACTTAAAGATTGAATGAATTAGTTTATACTAGATATCATATTTTTGAGTTCTCAATGGAAGTATACCAATAAAAATTCAATTTCTTCAAAAAATGACTACAACAATCACTTCTAAGAAAATAGTTAATTTTTCTATAAAATAAATGACAATCTTTATTTCATTTTTTCTCAGAAACTTATTAGTTTATACTAACTGACTTTTTGAGTTGTATCCTGGGTAAATCCACACAAAGTTTTAAAAAAAATTGGTGTTTTTATTGTGAGCCTAACCTTTAATGCCCGAATCATACCATCTCTCTAGTACCTTTACAATAAAAGAAAACATTTTGTTTGTATATTCATGTACACAATGATTGATTTTAGAAATATATTTTCATTTACATTTATCCTGAACTTTAAACATATTAACTTCTAAGACAGTCTCCTTTATCTCCCTCCCACCTTCCCTACCCTCTTTCTTTTCTCAGATTCTTATACTAATACTAATACACACTTTAATATGTTTAAGGTATTTTATACATAAGATCAAGGATTCACATATGAGAAAGAATATGGTATTTGTCTTTCTGAGTCTAACTTATTTTTCTTACTCTGCTCTTTCTAGTTCCATTTATTATCTTGAAAAATAACATAACTTCATTCTTCCATATGGCTTAAAATCCATTATGCATTTATACCACAACATATTTTTTGTTCATTCATTTACTGATAGATACCTCATGGTAACCAATTTATGGAATTGGTCTACATGTTCATATTATCTTTTATAAAACCACAGACAGACAGAGGTGGGCCTGAAGTGAAGGCAGAGTGATGATGGGACCAACAAAGAAGAAAGCTAATACCACTTACACTGAGGGAGATACTGTCTGGAAGCAAGAGCTTAATAGATGCATCTTTCTATTTAATAGGTGTCAGTTTTGCTTGCACTGTGGGGGTAAACTGCAGGAACAAAAAGGATCATATAACACAGGGTTCTAAGAAGATGACAATAGTCCCCCACTAGGCTAAAACAAGGAAAATGGGTTCACTATTTAAAACGTAGAATCTTCTGAGTGTTGTACTGGTTCTGCAGATTCCAGGAGAGGAAGAAAGTATATAGAGCAGGAACACAGAACCCCTTGTTCCCAAAGTGTGTAGTATCTGGGGGTTGGAGTGTGAGACTTAGCTCATAAGTATTCTTTGGTTCAGTTAACATAGACCTGTGTCTTCTCCCTTTGATGGTCAGTCCAGTGCTCTTTGAGGGTAAGTTTCAGCATGCCTCCTTTTAGGGAATCAGGGCTCTTTAGGAAATAAGTTCTCTGAACATCCCAGTCCTTCACAGCTTCAGTTTGGAAAGATTGAGGAACGTCACGCTCATGATATACAGTGTGGTGCCATGGGTGTTAGGCTCTGCATGCCTCAGAGCAATGACTCACAGTGAGACAGTGAGGTGTCAGAGCTGTTATCGTCATTCAAATGGTCAAGTGATACAGTAATCACTGACAAAGATGCCATAGAGTGTAGCAAACAGGATGCTGGGCTTTTTTTTACAACGGAGGTTGATGTCTTAAAAACAACCCACACTCTAATTGAATTGATAATTAAGACTGAAATTATTACATAAGTAGTTTGCTAGATATCAAACATATAATGTAATTTCATTTACTTTTTAAAATTCTATTTGTCTGCGTATGTGTGTGTTTGGGGGGATGTATGTAAGTGCACGTGCACACCTTTCTGTGAATATACAAAGCCAGGAGAGCATATCACATATCCTCTTATGTATATCATTTTTCACCTGTTTCTTTGAGCCACCATTTTTCCTTGGACCCAGGATGCTTGTTTTTGGGGCTAGGCTAAAAGCAGCAACTTTCTGCAGCCCCCAAGAGCTGGAATTTCTAGAAGGAAGCCTGGGTTATCTCACAGGTACTGGGATGCATATCTGTATACTTATGATTTCAGGAAAGGATTCTTAGCCACTGATCCACCTTTCCAGCTTCCAATTGTATTTCACAAATCAGCTCTGTAAGGCAGATCACAGTCACTTCCATTTTACAGAGGTTCAGTAAATTTGACCATTTTGAAAAAGTTGTTCAGTCCTATAAGGATTTGAACACAGATTTAGTCTGCTCACTGTTGAAAGCCACTATGTATCATGAAAATCAACTAAAAACCTGTTCTTTACCAAAAATTTCTTGATAAATAAAAATAATATGTTTCTCAGGACTAACACTTTTATTTATTTTTCTTATCAGATGTCTAGGATATTCCGACGTTCTTCTGGAGTGGGTCGATTTATCAAGTCCCACGTTATCAAGATAAGGTATGTAACTTATAGGAGTCAGTTCTTTGCTTCCACCATGTGGATTCCAGGGATGAAACTCAAGTCATCAGGCTTGGCAGAAAGCACCCTTCCCTGCTGAGCCATCGCACGAGCTCCTATGTATGTTTTAATATGATGTTTAAAAGCCCTAGATTTCACACTGAGATAGCTGGAGAGATGACAGATCGGTGATAATTAGATAGTTGATAGACAGATACATACAGAAGTGATTGATTATTTTGATAATTAGATAGATGATAGAGATATATAGAGATGGCAAATAGGTAGTCTATTATCTAGTAGATAATAGGTAGATGAGATAGATAATTGATAGATGATACATATATATATACAAATAAATAGATAGATGATAAAAAGATAGAGGGGATAATAGGTGGCTGAGAGAGATGATAGACAGGTGGCTGATAGGAAGGATATATATGACTAATTTCTTAGTGGTAATTAGTCTTTTTATGCCTTTTCCTTTGTGCGTCCCCCTTTCTTCTTTTATTTCCCTTTCTAAATAAATTCACTCTCTAAAGTCTACTACAGGCTTTCCATCCCTTAATCATGACATACGTTTCTGTATTTGAATCATTGGTCAAATTATTCTATCTTTATAAATTACTTCCTATAGAAATTTGTTGATTACATTTATGCCAAATGCCAGAATATCAGTGTTTTAATACAATATCCATTGCGACTCAACTCAAAGAGTCAAAAGTGGGGGCAAAAGATTGGGTGCCAGTAGGCATTACAGTATTTCCTTGTCACGTGATCTTCCACTTCTGCCTGATACAAAAAAAGCACAAGACTTGGCAGTAAGGGAAGAATTCAGGAGAGCATTTCAGTAAACTCCAAGAGGGGCTAGAAATGCAGTAGTTCTATGCTCAGAAGGCAAAGAAGAATGGACGTGATGCACACACATTGTCTCTGCCACATTTCGCTGGAGAATAATGACTTCAGCCACCTTACTGCTTTTATTCAAGATGCCTTTAAAAGCAACCTGTTCAAGTGAACACAAAGTACGGTTTCATGGGCCCCTCTCAGAGCTCTCCAAACTGAGGAAAGACGGAGAACACTCTTCTTGTTTGCATTATGTTGCTTTCTCTTCTGCAGTGTTTGCAGCACTCATTATTGTCATGCATTCCATCTTGCTCCCTTATCTGGATGCAATGTTAAGTCTCGTGTGCACAGATATCATCCACAATGTTTCTTTAAGTTGATGGAGAGTGCAGAGATGGAATCATTTTTCTGTTTTGCTCCAGTCCAGATGAACAGGGCGTGAACATTCTTATGGTGCTGATGTTTCGATACCCATCTACTGATAGTGCTGAACGAATCAAGAAAAAAATTGAAAGGACCTTATACCAAGGTCTGAAGATCAAACAGCTGCCTCTGACTATAAATAAACCATCATTTAGCCTCACACGTAAGTATTTTGTTGCTGTTTGCCATTTTCCCAATTCCCTTTGATTGCAATCGCCTGCAGTTGTCTTAGGAATCTGGTTCGTGTATCTTCCCATTTCACAAACTCACCACTAGTAAATATATCAATGGGCCTGGAGAGATGAGTCAGAATTTAAGAACACTTTCTGTTCATGCAAAGAGCTCAGGTTCACTTCGCAGCATCCACATGCCAGTGCACAGTTACCTGCATTCCAAGTTCCAATGTAGTTGACACCCTTCTGATATCCTCGAACTCCTGTATGTACATAGTGTGTGCATGCATGTGCATGCTCACACATGAGTGTGTACTCACACACACACAAACTCAATACAACACACACACACACACACACACACACACTAAATAAATGAAAACATATCAGCATTGAGAAAACCTAAAATAAAAACTCACTGTGAGGTAAAATTTGGAATTATACTTTTTTCTATACTTATGAGACTTTTGACGAAGTTTCTAAGTTTTTTTAACCAAATTTATTGGATATTTTAAGATCCATCAAAGGGTGGACATTATTTTCAACATTTTACGTGGGGAGCTGGACAATAAACAAGGCCCTGAAACAAGAATCAGCAAAAGTAGCCAAAATTAAACAGAAATATTATGAATCTCAGAATCATTTTATAGGTACATTTTAGAGAGTTTTTGTTTGTTTGTTTGTTTGTTTGTCTTATATAATTTTTCCCTATTTGTGTGAGTGTGAGTGTGAGTGAGTGTGTGTGTGTGTGTGTGTGCCTGTTTAACTTCAGGTGCATGTGTGTGGAGATGCTAATGGAGGCCTGAAGACGATGCCTGATCCTTTGGTGTTGGGATTACAGGCAGGTGTGGATGCTAAGATCCCCCAAGTCTTCTGCAAGAACAATAAATCCTCTTAATTCCTGAACCATCTTTACATCCTTGGAGTTAATTTTTATATCAAAGAAACAATCATGTGTATAAAGAATGATTCTGAAATAAGAGAGGCATAAACTATGAAGAGGCCCTCTGACATTTCTAGTCAAAATATTTTCATTATTTCCCTGTTACTTCCAAAAGAAAGAAAAATTATTAGTAAAGTCCTTGTTTTCTCCAAAGTAGAAGAGAGAAGAAAATTAAGTTCAAATAGTTTATGAGATTAAAATGGAAAGTCCCTTAGAGCTAATTAGAAATCTGGAGGGATTCTTTTGTTCTATGAAAAAATGCAATTAGGGAATAAAATATTTTTTTAAATAAAATACTGTCTTAAATGATGAAAGGATTGGACTGGTCTCTTTTTCATTTACTTCCTTAGTACCTTTTATAGTTGTCTACATCTCAGGCCAGTAGGCCTTCCAGCTCCTTCACTGTAGCTCATGAATTTCTAAGTTTAGTTACTTTTGATTTCTTATAAATGAGAGAAGAGACTTTCAGAATCTTCGTGGACATCTTTAAGTCAAATTAGACTGTATATTACATAGGTAGTTAGACATGATGATCATGCTATTTACTATGTATTATTTTTATTGTTAAAACATTTTGCTCCAAGAGAAACTAGAACCTATTTATCACTCTGTAGAGAGGATCCTCAGAGAAAATCCTGGCTATTGATAATGTAGCTATTTTCAAGTCATGATCACAGACTTAAAGGAAAATGTAAATGATCAGAGTTCACTGCATATTATAGTTATAGAATTTCTTACAGTTGTCAACAGTATTTTTGGCCTATACAATGACATTTTTATAATACAGGCTGTTTTTATATCAAAATGAGAATATCCCAAGACAATACTTGATAACAAATTCATTTACATATATTTTCCATCACATACACACCATTCATTAAAAACATGTATGTGAAATTCCTAGTAAAGACTGGGGCTTACATGCCTATTTGGACTTTTGCAACACAATAGAATAACCTAAAATACGTTGTTGGGCATGGAGTGTTTTGAACTAAAGTAAATCTAAGGGCCTTCAAAGACATTTCTTTCTGGATCTTGCTCTCCTTACTTTTCTCTCTTCTGCTTGAAGGTATAGCAACTAGATCCCTCTTTTCCAAACCAGGTACTGGGAGTCTGAGACCACCTACCTTTCTGTGAAGAAAGGGTCATAGATGAATTCTCTAACACTACTCAACAGTAGATCCCAAGACCTTCTTTCCTGAGCAGCCATGTTTGGGGAAGAAGGGAAGCTAATCGCAGGGATAAAAAAAGACTGATAAGACAGGATCTGCTCACACTGGACCACTAGCTAGTCTCCAACTACCTCTCCACAGGGCATAACTGTGGGATAAGAACTGTGAATGAACAGAGTTTTTGGACAGGTTTTAAGTGAAGGAACTTCATGCTCTTCTCTTAGTGTCAAGTCACTAACTTTTCAGGCACTTCAATATGAGAGGATCTCAGGGAAAAGTCGGCAAGATCCATGGACAGAATTCCCAGTTCTTGTTAGATTAGGACCTTGAAACTGGGCCCCGAGAGTCTGCCTTCATCATTGACCACGTGATGGAAATTGGAGACTCACTTCTTTGACTTTGGCTACAGCCCTGTAAAAAAAAAAAAAAAAAAAAAAAAAAAAAAAAAAAAAAAAAAAAANAAAAAAAAAAAAAAAAAAAAAAAAAAAAAAAAAAAAAAAAAAAAAGCTACCAGCACATTTACCCTTGCTCCTTCATTCCTGTTTTACATGTTTTTGAAGGAAAAATCATAAAATAAGATGCTCTGAGTTGATTATCAAATGAAATTCTATTATTTGAATCAATGATTGAGTCAGATGATTGTTGTATATTACTTGGCTATGAAAAGTTCAATGTCTTCCTGAATTATGGATACTTTAAATAATTAACATTACTATTCATAAACTTTTGAGCAAAATAACACAGGAAAGAGACTGTGCTGTCATGTCAACTAACTTGTGTTCTCTTCTTACAGCTATTGACAGCAAAAAGATGAGAAATCTCCTCAATAGTCGTAAGTCCCAAAGTCCACAATTAACCATTTATTTCTTAATAAAGAGAATGGATAAGAATCACAAAAATGTTTGTACAGATCACAAGATTTTCTATTTCTTTTTATATCTTCATAAATCAAATACTTAGTCTTTCCATTTCTGTTTTTAATATGTCACATATTAGGTATATATATCAATGTGATTTTATTTTCTATCCTTTATGTATGTTGTGTAATATTTTAGATGTTATATTAATATTCTTAAAGTATTTTAATATTCTCTCATGATTTAAGAGAGGACCAAGTTGAAGTTTTCATTTTTCAAGTGTTTGAGGTTTTCTCTCTGCTTCACTCATCACACCTGAATATATTCTGAGTCTTGTAGGTAAATGTGTGCCTACTATCGATGCTGTAAGAACACTTGCAAGGCTTTTCAAAGGTTGATTTGAAGTTAGATCAGTTGAAGATTTGACAGCAGCAAATAAGAATTTTTCTAAACTATTCTTATATTTTAGAAAATAAAAATTTGCATAAAATTAGTAAAATATATCAAAGATAATAAATTGATTCTACTTGTCACATGGAGGATAAATCATGACCTATATTCACTGATGGGTTGTCACTCAACAGTAAAGTTCTATTGATTTAGATGTGGATTATCCTAATGTTATATACCACTGCGTCACTCACTAGCTAGGTTATGTACAGCAATTTGTGTTCCTCTCCAAGGCATGCATATACACACACACACATACATACATACATACATACATACATACATACATATGAATATATAGCCAATTTGATGTTTAGTAATAACCTATGTATTGATAAAAATAAATGACAGAATGACTCTAGGATGGTCAATAGGAGAACACAAATATTTTTCTATACTTTAATTACTTGCTGACATAGGCAAGTTACCACAAAGATATCTCCTATCAGGAACTCAATCCATCATAGAGAATGAATTCCCCAGACTAATTGTATCTTACCACGTATGTGGCACACAAGACTGGTCAGTTTATTGCTTATTCCTTGACTTAGACATTCCAAGAGAATTGCAGAATTTATGATCACCAGAGTTTGCATTAGTTTGTAGTCTGTGAACTTTTCCCAATCTCATCTCTCTCCCTCAAAGGATGCCATGTTATTACACTCACGCTTGATGTAAAAGCCCAAAGCCACCCTCCCTTGGCAGAACATGTGGTATGTCTAGCTGACTGCACTTTCCAACTTTCAAATCTATTCTGAACCCAATAAAGTTGTTTCTGTTTTTGCTTCTATTTAAGCTCACTTATTATTTTCAATTTATATTATTGGTTTATATTGTTTGTTTGCAACAGACAATTTTTGTATAGGCATCCCAAATGCTGGGATTAGAAATATGTGTCAATGTTTTATAGAGAGAAACAAGCTGATTTTAGAACGAAATGCCTAAGCATATTGGTATTTCTTCATTTCTTCTGAACTTTAGAGTAATAAACACTATACACACACACACACACACACACACACACACACACACACACCAGTGATTAACTGCTAAGAATGGCATAAAGAGTTGATGAAGCAAAAAAGATTTTATTAGTGACTTCCCTAAATACAAGTCATGATATTTCCCTCTTTTGTAATGAGAACAAACTACTACGTGTTTCTTTGTCAGGATGTGGGATAAGGATGTCATCTTCAAACATGCCATTGCCAGCATCCTCTACTACTGAGCGAATTGTCCAAGGAAGGGAAACAGCTATGGAAGGAGAATGGCCATGGCAGGCCAGCCTCCAGCTCATAGGGGCTGGCCATCAGTGTGGAGCCACCCTCATTAGCAACACATGGCTCCTGACAGCAGCTCACTGCTTCTGGAAGTAAGTTCACTGGGAATGGGGAGCTTTGGTTTCCTTAGTCCTCTCTTGCCATTGATTTAATGCAAAGGAACAGCTCAGTCTTACCAGCTTGTCCTCCAGTCTGCACCTTCTCTGCACTCTATAGGGTATATACCTGTTTGGTTTGTGTAGTTTGATTCTAGTGCTATCTTCCTTATATTACAAGTTATTCACCATAAAGACTGATATACTTGTCTTCTACATCCTCAAAGAGAAAAGTTAATCACTTCTCTCCCGCTTCCCCACCGGTTAATTAATTGATTTCCCACCATCAATATCCAGGATTATTTCATTACAATGAGGGAAAAGGCTTTGAAATTTGTTTTGGAGCATTCTCTTCTCACTGTATTTTCAAGGAAACTCCATGGAAGTTTCAGAAGGCTTTTAGAGGTGTCACTCTGCCCTTGTAGCATGATATTTTGGTCCTGTATAGCAGAGTCCAGGTTCTCAGCTTGGCTTTCAGGGTTGTTTCTCTCAAAACTCAGTTATTCATAGGCTCTTTAGAGAGCCTGGAGATTAAGGGACTTGGTCTTTTCTCCCTTGGGGATTGCCATTAGCACAGAGAGAATCTCAAGAAACAGGATGGGCTCTAAATGAAAGTTCTTTGCTTGCTCAGTGACACAGTCTATGTGTGCTCCTAAAGCAGCTTTTCCTTGGTACTATTGGAGGCCTTTTATCCTTTTTTTTTTTTTTTAGGACGTAAACAGAATGATTCTAAGACACTTAAGCGGTCTCTTTGCAGACAAAGTATAACGAGAAAGACCTAATAAATTTGAAGTTATCTCTTCCTCTTTCAATGATGAAGAAACTCACAATTTCATATCTATGAATCCCAAAGTAACTAGTACCATGTTCATGATGAACACTTACTTACTAAGACTTTCTGGCATGTTCATGTCCTTACAGTCACCCCAAATTTGTTTTTATGTGTTTGTGAAAGTATTTATAAAATAGAAATAATAACCAGAATGTCAGCTTAATATCATTAATGATATAAACACTCCTTTCAATGAGACCAGTGAGCTGTCTGGGGATGGACAGAGATACATAAAAATTGGATGTTGAAGCTGATAAAGTAAAAATTACTATTGACCTTAAGAAGGTAACTTTCCATAGTGTGATAAGAATGGGAATGTATTTAAAAGATAATTGAAGGAACAAGTGCAGTAGCTTTAAAACTACTTTAAAGGAGTGTATAAATGAGAGATGCCAGAGAAATTTGAAAGTTAATGTCAAAGAAAGATTTTTTTAATATTGCAAATGTAGCAGCATATTTGGTACTTGTAAACGGAGACTGCTCATTTATTAAAAAGGGAATAAAGTGATATATTGAAGATAATATAGAAGTTATCCAAATAACATTCCTATTTTAATAAATGAATTTTTGCATAGAAATAGCATATTTAAAAATGGCATTTCAGTACAATCCCAGCATTCCATGTTCATGAAAGTCTTCTTTCATAGTTTGCTTCAGTCTTAAGAAACCATGTGAGTCAGGAAAAGTTTTTGACAAGATGTAGGAAGACAAGATGTAGCAAGGTCTGAGTATCTCTTAGTGTCTCTGTTCACAAAGCAGCATGTTTGAGCCTGTTATGAATCTTTGATGATGCACAAAGGGATGGTCATTCTATTTTGCTATCCCAAATTGTTTGTAATCTCCTTAACTCCTGGAATCGTGTTAGTCATTATCACTCTTAGAATTCTAGTAGTGAATGTCTAGGTACCAAATGATGGTCCCAGTCCTAATGAGTCTACATTGAACAAACGTTCCATAAACAAACAAACAAACAAACAATGAATAAACAGATGAGGGAAGAACTCTTTTTCTGCTCTTATTCTGTCTTGTCATCCCTGGACAATCTAGTGCACTTTGAAAATGCATGACCTTTTACTACTCTTAAAAGTTGATGATTTAGAGAAGGGGGAATGATGTAATTATAATCTCAAAATATAAATGAAACACTTTTTCTTAAAAAAAAAGAAAGGAAGGAAGGAAGGAAGGAAGGAAGGAAGGAAGGAAGGAAGGAAGAAAGGAAGGAAGAGCCCTGACTTCAGAGCAGGTAGGATGAACATAACGTTCACAGACCGGTGAGATAGCCCTGTGGTTAAGAAAGCATTCTGTTCTCAAAGAAGACACAAGTTCCATTCCCAGGAGACACATTAAGTATGGGACAACTGCGTGCACCCCAAATTCCAACAGATCAGATGTGTCTTGCCCCCACTGACACCTATACTCATGTACATGTAATCTCCAACTCACAAATAAAAAAAAAACATTTTCAAAAAGAAAAAGAGAGTTGATGATTGACCAACATGGTAATCCCTTATAAACGAGGAAATTCCTTTTTAAAATTCTCACCTGTGACTTCCTTCTACCTAATTTCCCTTCATCCAGACAATATCTGGTTTCTGTATATGTCTAATCATTCGTAATATGAATAATTCTAAAGGGACTGAAATGGACTTTGGAGAAAAAAATTATAGCAGGTAAGAGTTGGTTGCGCTGGACGTAATTTGTGACGTAACCCCGGGGAAGTAAAGCAGCTATGTGAAAGGAGAGTTGGTTAAGTGGGAGGCTGAACAGACTACAGCAAAGGACTGTGTGAGACTTGCTTCCAGTAAGGGCAGCTTAACCTTTGAATGTCAGGAAGGGGTGTGGGCATGGGTGGAGGAAAACCTTTGTGCGTGTGAGGAACTTCACATTAGACACATTCCACTTAGCTTCAAAGATCACAGTAAACAAGAGCCAACAAGCATGTTGTCAAATCAAGATGGGTGTTTTGGTGGAGAGGGAATTTGCCTACTAGGGTGCTCATTGTCTAGAAGAAAGGAAATGAATGCCTGAACAATTCTTTGAAAGAAAAGAATGGGAATGCAAAGAACTCTAACAAGGCACAAACTTAAAATATGGAAACTGATGATTAAATAACTTATGTGCAATTATTTGCTTTAACCATAGGAAAACTCTTTTTCACAGTGCCACCAACTATCAATTCTCTCACCACAGGAACTTTTCAAGAGCTCCATTCTAAAAGCTAGGCAGAAATATAATTTTGACCTTTTTTATTAAAGAAAGCAACATGAACCATCACAAACCTTATCCTTTAATTTTCTGTAGAAACAGAGACCCAAGTAAATGGATTGCTACTTTTGGTACAACTATAACACCACCGGCCGTGAAGCGAAGTGTTGGCAAGATTATCATTCATGAAGATTACCACAGAGAAAGCAATGAAAATGACATTGCTCTAGCCCAGCTCACTACCCGCGTAGAGTTTTCAAACGTGGTTCAAAGAGTCTGTCTCCCAGATGCATCTATGAAACTGCCACCGAAAACAAGTGTGTTTGTCACAGGGTTCGGGTCTATTGTAGATGATGGTGAGTAGTTTCATCCTATTTTTTTATACAAAAATATTTTTTTTAAAAAAATAATGGTGCAGGGGCTGAGACTTAGTTGACAAAGTGTTGTGCTAGCAAAAGGATATGAGTTAGGGTCCCCAGCACCCACATGAAAGCCAACTGTGGGGCTCACACCTGTAATTAATTAATTCAGATTTAGTGAGAGACCTAACATTTAAATAATGGCTCAAAAAATTAGGTGACAGTGATTGAAGGCAGGCATATCTCTGTGAGTTTGAGGCCTGCCTGGTCAACAAGAGTGAGTTCCAGGACAGCAAGGCCAGCCTGGTATACAAGAGCTAAGTCCAGGACAGGCTCCAAAGCTACAGAGAAACCCTGTTTCAACACCCCCACCGCCCAAAAGAATACACTATAAGTGACACCAGGAAGAATGATTCTCTGTGTTGTGTCCTGATTTCTACTTTAATATTAGCTGGAAAAAATAGTGAATTTGTCATGCAACTTGGACTAGATTAGTGTGGTTGAACTCTCTGAGCATTCAGTGAAGACCGCAGTGTGTGTTAGCATGAAAAGCCTTGTATACATTTAGCATCTGTGTGCAGTTTTAAAAGATACTGTAGAGGAACCACCAATATGATACAGTTCTGAGGCTTGTATGGTTGATTTCTTTCATGGAGACAGTAGGGTTAGAGAAAATACAATTTAGTATAAACCAATATACATAAAATACTTTGTGCTTTGGCTCTAGTCTGTATTAGGGGTACAACCATATTTCAAAAGCACATTATTTTTTTGTTTATTTGTGCTGTGTAATAGGGCCTACACAAAATAAACTCCGGCAAGCCAGGGTGGAAACCATAGGCACTGATGTGTGTAACAGAAAGGAAGTGTATGACGGCCTGATAACTCCGGGCATGCTGTGCGCTGGATTCATGGAAGGAAAAGTAGATGCATGTAAGGTAGGTTGAAAGCCAAGGTCAATCTTTCAGAGGGAAGTTTCTCTTAGCAATTTCTGAGATTAGCATAGAATAGAACAACTGTCCTGAGTGCTTAATGTTCACAAACCCAAAGCAAAGCACCTTTACTATAATGTTTTTATTATTTTATTAATTGTTGTTTATATATAAACACCTCTTCTCTATGGCCCATCCCTCCATCCCCCCCTTCTCCATTCAAGTTCCTGTCTTCACTGGCCTTTGGGGGGAAGTTCACATTAGCACAGACTGAGTCTCTTACTTACAGTAAACATTTACTTTGCAACTGATTTCATTTTATTATTGTTATTCAAAAGTCTTGTGGGGAAATCTCTAGATGGATACCTCCAGCTAGAACCCTACTTTGTGGTTTTGCTATAAAATATTTGGAAAGAATGTCTATGCCTATTGTCTCTATTTCTCACTTCCTTTAACACTGTCAGCCATCACTATTGGGTTTTCCCCATTATTTTCTCCAAATAGTTCCCCTTAATGACTCACCAGTGACAGCAATGTTAAATTCTAGCAGACATCTTTGATGTTGCTCTTTTCTTTAAAGCCCATAACAGCATTACTAATGCTTACTACCCCCTTTTATTGAAACATTGTCTTCTCTTGATTCTTTAATGATTTCCAGAATGTTTTCCTCTTCATACCCCATATCAAGTTGCTGAATGAATCTGTTCGATTTTTTTTATCTTTTTATAACTCCTGTTTCACCAGTTCTATATTTTCTTCCCTCTCTTTTCTTCTTTTCTCTCACCTCATAGCTTTCAGCTCCTCATCCCATTTTTTTTCTCTTGTACTTCTTTAGTGCATTTGCCAGATAAACATTAGCAATATTTGTAATATGCTATTCTAGTTATGTCAAAGACCTCTTTAAAATATTTCAGCACCTGCGTTTTGTTCTTAAAAATACAAAACAAAGCATTCTAAGCAAGGTCCACAGGGATTCACAGGGATTCACAGTAATCCCTGAGCCATTTGCCCGTCTTATCCCATACCTCTGACCTACTTCTCCTGATACTTTTTCCCTCTCTAGCTCCATCTTTTTATCCTTGCATATGCCAGATTCCTTCACACCACAGAGCATTTTCAAAACTTTTCCCTCTGTCTAGAATGCAATACTAGTCTATGCACCACTGTCTGATGCACAACCAACCGCTCCACCTTCTCATGTCAACATCATTGCATCTCCAAGGGATGTACTGTGAGAGTACATCCTGACCAATCAAATGTTCTTATTCTAGCTCCTCTGTCATTTACCATAGTTGTGATTAGTCTTTGTTTGGGACTTATTTAAATATCAGCCCATTTAATCTACACTTCAAGCTCTGTGAGCAAACTCACAGGTGTGTCGTTCTCTCCCTCTCCCTCCCTCCCTCCCTCCCTCTCTCTCTCTCTCTCTCTCTCTCTCTCTCTCTCTCTCTCTCTCTCTCTCTCTCTCTCTCTCTCTCTCTCTCTCTCTTTCACACACACATACACACACACAAATAAACCTTTGTAAGTTGAGTAATAGAAGAATGAGGTGAGAGAAGCAGAGAAAGTTAAAATATTTTGCTCAGGGTCACTCATAATTGACAGAGCTGGGCTTGAAACTGAGGCATTTCAACATCTGTAAGTGTATCTGCCTACTTAATCTCTCTCATCATATAAAAGAGGTAAAGGAGCCTTTATAATTCACTAAGAAAATATAAATTAGAATAGATGAGAAAAAGAAAAGGAGACCAAGAGCAGGTAACAAAACAGGTCAATAGTGTTTCCAAGTGACCTTTAAAATTTCTCTTTACTATTATAACTAACAGTCTCATATTTGACATTTTATGTGCATAAAATGTTGTCTTATAATAACATATATTCAGGACATTGTCTAATTAAAGAAATAAAATACAAGGATGATAAGCCATAAATAATGTAAACATTATATATGAAAGATATATTTGTTTTCTACTAAAAAAGAAAATATACTTTAAGGTTTAGAACAAAATTTTAGCTCAATTGAAAGATGCATAAAATCTATTCACAGTCTGTTTCTGTGATCCATATAACAATTTTTCATTTGTGTGTGTGTGTGTGTGTGTGTGTGTGTGTAGGCAAGGTCTGTGGAAAAGAGATGGTTATTATTATCTTGAATTGGAACACTTGTTTCTATTCCAGGGTGATTCTGGTGGACCTCTGGTTTATGACAATCGGGACATCTGGTACATTGTGGGCATAGTAAGTTGGGGACAATCTTGTGCTCTTCCAAACAAGCCTGGAGTCTACACAAGAGTGACTAAGTACCGAGACTGGATAACCTCCAAGACTGGCATCTAGAATGGACTCTTGTGAGTTATAGCCATGGCTCACAGAGCAAGATGACTGCAGATTGTCTATTATCTCTTAGAGTCGTGAGTTATAGTGACAGTACACGGAGCAAAATGCCTGCACATTGTACATTATTACTGAGTGTTGTGAGCTATATAGTCACGGCCCATGGAGCAGGATGCCTGCAGACTGTCCATTATTACTTAGAATCATGGGGTTAAAACAATGCTTCTGCCGATGTCAAGGAACTCGTCAGACCTAGACTAACTGATACCATGAGGTGGCTTTTATGTACATAAACTTTCTACCAAGAAGGAAGAAGACATGGCTAATGACAGGTAGCACCAATGCCTCACTCATAAGGGTGACTCCTCAAGGTGACAAACACTTACAAATGACTTCCCTCAGGATATAAAAGCTGCCAGGCTGCTACAACCTTACCTCAAATGATACATCGAGCCCCAGGATTCATCTTACAAACATCAGTCAACACCTTCGCTGGGAATTTAAGACGTCAGCATTTTAAAACTCGTGACTGGACATTCAATTGCTAGAATGAAGGAGCGTTGAACCTGCAGTAAAACTTGAACTGTAACCTGGGTTTGTATATGACAGAGCAGAGCATTATTCTCAACCACAGGAATTGTCATTATTTAAATGCATATGAACTTGCCATAACACCATGAATACCCTCAAAGCACTGGCTTCAGGGAGCATTTTGCATTGTTAAGAAGCATTTCTGGCTTACTCTTTAGCAGAATCTTGCCATCCACAAATCAATCGTAATCAGCCCAGAAAAGAGAAAAATAAAACCATTATAAGGATTTTCCCACTAGTATAAAGAAGCAGATGAAATCAGAAGTAGTTAAGAGATGTTTAGTAGCAGGGCACACTGCACTTTTGATAGAGTGTATTATCCAAATACTTATTTTGAAATACAAACATGAGCATATGGTTACCAATGCTTTTGTAAATCATCACTCATTGCCAAGTTATATGTCTATCAAAATGTCAGAGGAGGAGGGCCTCATGAAAAGAAGGATAGTGCTTACTATATACTGAGCACTAATAACAGTAAGTGAATTCCCCAACAAAGGGGTTTACCTATAGTTCAAAGCCTAGTGGTGGGCACAGTATTAGTGAACACAGGTTGAGATAGACCAATGTATCATGAACATTGTACTTTGCCACATGCAAATTATATGATTTTATGCAAATGTCCCAATATCTCTCAGTTAGCTCTTTCATCTGTATAGTGTGAATAAAATTCTACCTCATGGTTTTATTTTTTGAGGATTACATGCATTAATACAGGTAAAGTTTTTGCAATAGCAACTGCACAGAGTAAATTCTCAGGACGAATAAGCTACTATCAATATTAATGTTCTTTGGACTTTTAAAAACACAATATTTATGTTTTTAAATGCCCCTACTTCTTTGAAGAAATACAAATAATGTCAAAATCCTTTAAATTGCATTGTTAAAAAAACAGATGAAGTATCAGATTTTCAAAATCGCTTTTATGTTATTTCTTGGATTTAATTTGAACTGTGTCTGCTGCAGACAAGTGGTTATAGGATGATGATCACCGTGCTTAGAACTCCAGCCATACATCTGTATTCACCTCCAGCTATCAACTGTGAGACCTGCATATGTTACTCTGACTTAGCAGACAGAAGCTGTGGCATAGCCACCCTATTACGGCTAAAACTTGCTCTGGGTTTAAGTTTACATATAACTGTGTTTATATGCCACATATGTATCCAAGACAAACACAACTTTCAAAGATTCTGAGTTGCTCTAACTTGCATCTCAATGAGCTAAAAGCGCAAGAAGGTCATGCCTTATGGGCTAATGGGACAACATCAGAAAATGCAGAGTAAAAGCTTAAAGTCGGGCTTGATTGATGTTGGATTTTTCTTTTAAATTAAGATAAGCTCCTCTTTTGGTAGATATGTGAAAGCAAATCTGCCTACCAGAAAATTTTCATTCTTTCCTTTGTAAATTCTGTAACAACAGATTTGTTGTATGTAATTTTATTTATATTGCATAATACTGTGATGACTTTTTGTGTATAAGTATCTGTGAAACCGTGTATACTGATTTAAATATTTCCAAGTTTAGTTCTATTGAATTTAATAATAACTTAATGCAAATAAGAATAAACATAAAAACACAAGAATTCTAAAAAAATTGGAAAACATTTTTTTAGCAGTGTTTGTATTTCTTATTTCAAGTTTGATAACTGACTTATTGACTGAATGACGTAGAAGTCAAGTGATCTACTTCGTGTTTTCCATCTGACATACGGGTTACTATGCTGTCTAGCTCAGGGAGTTACTGTGAGGCAGTGTTGAAAAATAATAAAGTTGCAAAGTTGAAGAGCATCTAAAATCTCAAAAATACAAAGTATACTATTTTTAAAAGACATCAATATAGATGATACAGAAAATGCATTAAGATTATAAATATGTGTTCGTTCTTTGCAAGGTTGGGTTTCTATTGCTTTGTTTATTTGAAAAACATAAAAAAATGACTAACACAAAAAAGAAAATGGTCTTTCCGTCTGTGTATTAACACTACGGTAATTTTAGTATACTTTTTATTGAAAAAAGCAAAAGTCTGATAGGTGCTCAAATTACGCTTTTTTTACTTCCTTGAAAAAGAACCTATTAAACCCTATATAGTGAATAAGAAGAGGAAGAGAAGGAGGAAAAGAAAAAAGAAGAGAAAGAGGAAAAAGAGGAGGAGGAGGAGGAAGAAAAGAGGAGGAGGAAAAAGTCAACAGGGAAGAAGGCATTGTAACACCACCAAAAAGAAATTTAGGCTATCCCATGTCAGTTGTACCATTGATGAACCATTAATGATGCTGGACAGTCATTTACTTTTCTCTTGAAAATCCATGCTACAATCTTCTTAATGGTTGTTCCAACATGGCAACATTTTGACAAACACTAGTGTTCAACCCAGCTTTTTCAACTGTCTCTGCTTCTCACAAAATAGGTTCATTACCCACCTTCTCTCCCCTTTTCTCTTTTCTCTCTCTCTCTCTCTCTCTCTCTCTCTCTCTCTCTCTCTCTCTCTCTCTCTCTCTCTCTCTCTCTCTCTCTTTATATCTGTCTTTTTTTCCTTTTTTCCCCTCTTCCTTCTATTCCACTTTCATTGCCCTTTCTCTTTCCCTTCTTTTCTTCCTGTACTTGCTAAACATTTTCAACATTCATCATACAAAAAAGGAAAGAAGGGAGAGGGAAGTAGTATCTCCAGAGCCTGTATCCTTAACCAACAGGTCTTGGCATTAGATTAGGCTTGGCTCTCTTCCTGGCTGCTCTCAGTAAATTCTGTGAGGATAATCCCCAAAACTCTCCTGTACTTTCCTGTTGTTACTGTTCTGAATTTTCTTCTCCATTCTTGAGCTCCTTCTACTTTATCCTCCTATCTCTCTATCTCAAATAGCATTAGCTATTCAGCTATAGCTTGAATGTATCCCCTAATAATCAGTGGTTGGAGGGGGGGGGCTTAGTAAGGGGTTATTAGGTCAACATGGTAGAGAGTTCATGAATAAATGCTAGCACAAGAAAAGGGTAGATTGTCTTGTGGTGACAAGTCCGAGCCCTGCTGTTTCATCTTCTGCACAGTCTTGCTTTTCTTATCACCTTCCATCACTGGGAGGGCAGCAAGAAATCCCTCAACAGATGCTAAATAGACACCAACACTGTCCCCTTTGATCCCATTTGACTTCAGAACTTCCAGAATAATGACATAAATACAATTTTTAAAATAACTTGTTCATTCTATATTATTGTTAAAGCAATATAAAACAGACAGAAGTACCTTTTATCTCCTAAAACAAAAATGTTTAACCTCAAAGATAAATTGGCATTATTTTAACAGAAATTTGATATTTGGTTTTTCTTTCAATTATAAAATGATTCTCATACGCAGACAATCAGTAGCAGAAGTTGTCAATCACAAGAAAGATGTTTTAAATTTGGTTTAGTAATGGTTCCATAAACACAAACTCTATCACAATTCCGATTTTGTAAATTATTAAAGTCCTATTTCCTATTATATTAAACACTATTATAATTTCACAAAATATATTAATATATGAGCCTCTTTATAATTTTATATAGTCTATTTATGCATCTAAAAACATTATCATCAAAGATATACATGGTCTTTATCAGTCTTGTTAGGATACCAAACATAGCCTCATATACGGCACAAAAAGAGATCAAGACTCTGTCACATGTAATAAAAGAAAACTAATTTCTTGATATACAAAATCTTATTATCATCCCCTTATTGCTTTCTATTTTGAGTGTCATCTTTCTTTCTCTCTTGCCACTTTTCTTCCAGAGTGCCACACAAAGTTATTGTGGTTTCTTACAAAAAGCATCTTCAGGGTCAAGCAAATGATGATATGTCCTGCACCACCTCATCTTATGTATGGGTACTCTCCTTCCTTATTACTGAAGCAATTTATAGTACATGTACAATATGTACACATCAAATTAAACTATATATATATATGATTACAACATCACTTAGAGAATAAAAGTAACATTTTGTTTTGACATTATGATAAACAGAATTCTAAAATGGTCAGCAAAGACTTTCTTGCCTAATCCTACTGTGAGTATGTGTGTGTGTACATGTGTATGTATATATGTGATATATGATATATATATAAAACAATGATTGTGTCTTATTTCTTCATAAAATACATTTTTCAGATGTTAGTAAAGGTATTTATTTTTTGTATTTGAAGACTGATATAATGAAAATAGAGTATTATGAGTTATAAACAACAAATATTTTTCCTCACAGTTCTAGAGGCTGAACAGATTTACATATCAACACATATAGTATCTGAACAGCTCCTTTGATTGGACCTTCACATGGTGAAATGTCTAAACTACTTCTCTGGGTTGCTCTTTTATGGACTCCATCCCTTGGGTGGATCCACTGCTTATGACAATCCCTGATGCCATCACTTTACAGGATAGGTTTCCAGGATAGGGATCTCTGAAGAACATAAGGATTCAGACCTTAGTGATCACTAATCTGTGACTTTGAAATAATAGAAAGAAATGTTGCACTTTGGACACAGTGTAATATGTTAGAAGTAAACGTATCGAGAATTCTACCTCTTCTACAGCAAAGTTGAGTCCATCTAGACCTCGGCCTGTAGAATAAAAGAATGTAATAAAGAGTTATTATTTTTCCAAAGCATCTTCCTTATTAACCAATGGTAATAAAACGTATTTACAGAATACAAAGAGGCATCCCACATCAAACATAATATCTTAAAATTAAAATTAGGCAAGAGCCTATTGAGCACAGCCATAGATTGTCATAAGTCTGCCTGAATTTCTGAATTACTAAGAAAATTGTAACCTTTCCATTACTTCCTTCTATTTTATTTTTTAATTTATTTTATTTTTTTTAAAAAAGAAAACAAACTATCTTTTTTCATTTCACATAACAATCCCAGTTCCCACCTCCCATTCCTTCCACCTACCTCCCACCCCTCCTCAACCCACTACTTAGTAAGGCACATTGCTTTGGGAAAGTTCAAGGCACTCCCAACTATATTTAGACTGAGCAAGGTATCAATCCAAAGACAATGGTTTCCCAAGAAGTCAGTGCAAACAGTAGGGCTAAACCCTTGTCTCAACTGCCAGTGGCCCCGCAGTCTACCCCAGCCAAACATCTGTCACCAACATTCAGAGAGTCTAGTTTGGACCTAAGCTGGTTCCTTTCTTGTCTGGCTGGAGTTGGTGAGTTCCCATTAGCTCTGGTAAACTTTCAGTGTGTCCCCATCATAGTCTTGACCTCTTTTGCTTATTTTCTCACTCCTTCACTTTTCACCTGGACTTTGGGAGCCCAGTTCAGTGCTCTGATGCTGGTCTCTGCTTCTGTTTCTATCTGTTACTAGATGAAGGTTCTATGGTGATATTCATCAGTCTGATTACAGGGCAAGGCCAGTTCAGGCACCCGCTCCTCTATTGCTTAGTGTCTTAGCTGGGGTGGATTTTGGGGATTCCTGGGAATTTCTCTAGTGTCAGGTTTCTTGCTAGCCCCATAATGGCTCCCTCAATCAAAATATCTCTTTCCTTGATCTCATCTCTGTCATTACTCCATCTCGACTATCCCATTTCCTCAAGTTCTGGTCCCTTCTCTTCTTCTCTCCTTCTCCTCCCCTTCCACCTTCCCTTCTTCCCCCACCCCCAACACCCAATTTTGTCAGGCAATTTTGCCTATTTCCCCTTTCCAGGTGTATGTTTTTCTTAGGATACACCTTGCTACTTAGCTTCTTTAGGATCATGAACTATAGGCTCAACATCCTTCATTTACAGATAATATCCACTTATGAGTGAGTACATACCATATTTATCTTTCTGGGTTACCTTACTCAAAATGTTTTTTTTTTCTAGTTTCATCCATTTGTACACAAATTTCAGGATGTCATTTTTTTTAACCACTGAGTAGTGCTCTAATGTGTAAATGTGCCACATTATCTTTATCCATTCTTCAGTTGAGGGGCATCTAGGTTGTTTCCAGGTTCTGGGTATTACAAATAATGTTGCTATGAACATAGTTGAACAAATGTCTTTATAGCATGATTGAACATCTTTTGAGTGTACCCCCAAGAGTGGTCTTGCTGGATCCTGAGGTAGACTGGCATCTTATTCGATGCTTAAAATCATTTGATAAAATCCAACACCACTTCATGATAAACGTTTTGAAGAGATCAGGGATACAAGGAACATATCTAAACTTAATAAAAGAAAAATACAACAAGCCGACAGTCAATATAAAATTAAATGGAGAGAAACTCAAAGTGATTCCACTAAAATTAGGAACAAGACAAGGCTGTCCACTCTCTCCATATCTATTCAACATAAGTCTTGAAGTTCTTGTTAGAGCAACAAGACAACAAAAGGAGATTAATGGGAATCGAATTGGAAAGGAAAAAGTCTAACTTTCGCTATTTACAGATGATATGATAGTATACATAAATGACCCAAAAAACTCTATTAGGGAACTTCTCCAGCTGATAAATACCTTCAGTAATGTGGCAGGATATAAGATCAACTCAAAAAATAAGTAGCTCTCCAATATGCAAGTGATAAAGAAGCTAAAAAAATCAGAGAAATATCACCCTTTACAATAGCCACAAATAACAAAATATCTTGGAGGAGTACTAATCAAAGAAGTGAAAGACCCGTTCAACAAGAAATTTAAGACTTTGAAGAAAGAAATTGAAAAAGATGCCAGAAAATGAAAAGACTTCCTATGCTCTTGGGTAGGATCAACATAATATAAATGACAATCTTAACAAGATCAATCTGTAGATCCTATGCAATCCACATCAAAATCCCAACACAATTCTTCACAGACCTTGAAAAAACAATAATCAGCTTCAAAGAAAAAAAAACAGGATAGCCAAAACAATCCTGTATAATAAAGGAACTTCCGGAGGTATCACCATCCCTGACATTGTGCTCTACTATAGAACTACAGTAATGAAATCAGCTTATATTGGCATAAAAACAGACAGGTTGATCAATGGAATAGAATTGAAGACTTAGATATTAATCCACACACCTATGAACACCTGATTTTTGACAAAGAAGCTAAAATTATGCAATTGAAAAAAGAAAGCATCTTCAACAAATGGTGATGGCATAACTGGATGACAACATGTAGAAGAATAAAAATAGATTCATATCTATCTCCATGCACAAAACTCAAGGCTAAGTGGATTAAAGACCTCAATATAAATCTGACCACATTGAACCTGATAGAAGAGAAAGTGGTAAGTAGCCTTCAATGCGTGGGCACAGCAGACCACTTCCTAAATATAACACCAGTAGCACAGACACTGAGAGCAACAATAAACAAATGGCACCGGAAACTGAGAAGCTTCTGTAAATTAAAGGACACAATCAATAAGGCAAAAAGGCAGCCTACTGAATGGGAAATGATCTTCACCCACCCAACATCAGACAGAGGACTGATCTCCAAAATATATAACGAATTCAAGAAATTAGACATTAAAATTCCAAATAATCCAATTAAAAGATTGGTTACAGAAATAAACAGAGAGTTCTCAACAGAAGAATATCAAATGGCCGAAAGACACTTTAGGAAATGTTTAACATCCTTAACCATCAGGGAAATGCAAATCAAAATGACTCAGAGATACCATCTTATACCAGTCCAAATGGCTAAGAGTTACTATTTTAGCAGTTAAGTTTATATAACTTGTTACATGGCAATATAAAGTTGATAATATTCTGAAGCTTTTGTCTCAGTTTGAACATTTGCCTTTATGCTAATTCTAACTAATTGTCTTCCAATTTATTATAGTGACTTAGTTTTTCTTCTACTGCTATGAAGAGACATCATGACCAAGAAAACTTATAATAGGAAGAATTTGCTTTGTTTTTCAAGACAGGATTTCTTTGTTTTGCCTTGCTTGAGACAGGGTTTCTCAGTGTAACCTTGGCTGTCCTGGAACTTGTTCTTTGGACCAGGCTATCCTTAACTCACAGAGCATGCCTCCGCCTCTCAGGTGCTAGGATTAAAGGCATGTGCCACCACCACCCAGCTAAAAGAACTTATTGAGAACATGCTTACAGTTTCAAAGGTTTAGTTTATCACCATTATGGCAGGGAGCATAGCAGCAAGCAGAAAGGCATGGAGCTGGAGCAATATGTGCGAGCTCACAGGTAGAAACAGCAAGTACAAGGCAACAAGAGAGAGCTAACTGGAATGGTATGGGCTTTTGAAACCTCTAAGCTCCCCTGCATGGCATGATACACCTCCAAAAGGCTGTACCTTCCAATCCTTCCCAAATACGTTCCACCAACTGAGTAACAAGCATTAAAATATATGAGCCTGTAGAGGACAATCTTATTCAAACAAAGATTGGTTTTTCTACAATGAAAGAAGGAATAGAAAATAAATATGGGTGTTGAATATTATTGTCTGAAATAAAGAGGGGTCAATGAATATTAAATGCCTTGGTGCTCACATAGGGACTCCTTAGCACAGTGAAATACAGCACAGTTTTAACCTTCTGAGCTTTGTTATCAGAAGTAGCCTAGAAGTCTGAGAGCACACAAAATTAACTCTAGATGCTTACTTGGGGAGGGACAGTTATTTAGATCAGGTGGAGCTGAAGATACCAGGAATGACTGTCCTGGAGGAAGTTCAGGATGACAGAGTCCATAGATATCATGTAGACAGGCTCTAATTAGATTACTCTGACAGTGAGTGAAATTTAAGTGAATTGTAGCAAAAGAAAAAGGAAGAGATATTATCCCTATGCAGGAAAAGGAGTCACTGGAAGAAAAGGGTTTGTGTCAGGGAGATGAAAACACAGAAGTATCAAAGAAAGTTTATGCTGATATAGCCAAGTTACTGGACCCAGGGAAAAATATTGTCAGTTGATGAGACCCTTACAATGGTTTTGGGTTCAAGGTAAATCTCATGTCTTTAGAATAGACATGAGAATACAAGACAAAATGAACACGTATGCTACTACACTAAAAAAAATCTTGTCAAAAGCATGAAATGTTTCCTGAAAACCTTATGTTTCAGGTGCTTCTGAAAGAGGTGAATGACTGAGCCAAAGACCAGACTTTTACTGACTCAGAGGGACAGGACTGCCTATTGAAAGACAAACAGAAAGTTTCCCCAAGAGTCAAGGGAGTTGCTTACGTTTGGGACTTGACATTGTTTCTCAATTAGCCAGAACAAGGAAATTCTTACTTCCTGTAACAGAGACTTTATCAAGTGATTCTTTTCCTTACCTCAAACCATAACATTTATCCGTCCCAACATGTTCAACAAGTTTCTTATAAATCTTTAAGTATTCTCAACCTTAGCCCGCTTACACATCTGCAAGAATACCCAGGATGCTACTCATTTGACAGGGATCACACAGAGAGCAGCGTGGAGGTGGAGAAGCTGGCCTTCCCCAGTGTGGCGATGTATCAGTAAGTTGGGTTTTATTCCACATATGAATAGTTTGTTTCATATTTGTGCTTCTAAATGGAACTTGAAAATCAAGCTAAGACTTCAGTCTAATTAATTTTCTCTATTCCTGCTGTAATATTAATATTCTCTATTTCACAAAACCATGATAGTGATTTAATAGTTAAGAATTGAGATTTTTAATGTTGGATTGGATTACAGTTCAGTGTTGTATATGAATTGGAAAGTTTAGCGTGAGAATTGAGATCATAATGTACATCTCCGGGGAAGACAGAGAGCCCGAGATGCACTGAACAGTTTAAGGAGTGAGATGGAATGAGGAAGAACAAGTTTCTCACCTCCACCTATGAATTTAAAAGCTATTACACCCTTTGTATTCATTCTTAATAATGCATTACATTGATTCATGAAAAATGAAATGTTTAATTATATGGAAACCATAGTATCTTAGACCCCACTCTGAAGTTAATTATAACTAAAACTCAGATTTATAAATAAGAATTTTAGTGTTCTATTTTTCATTCTTACCTCTTCAATCCATTTTTATAACACCTAATTTCTACCATTCTTCCTCTCTTGAATATCCTCCCATAGTTCCTTCTCTAGATTCCCAAAGAATGTCCATTTATTAATCATACACTTATTGTTGTATTCTATGTAACAATAGCCAAGAAGTTAAAAAAATGAAAAAATGTTCTTCAATTAAAAATTGATACTTTGCTTTTTAAAGTGAGAAAACTGAAAACTGTATAAGAACAATTTGTGAAGTATATGAGAAGTGCAGCTCAATCCATGGTTATAGAAATTGTGCATTATTACAAATATAGAAGACTATAGTAAATAAACCATAAATATTTCATTCCCTACCCTTCTGTCTGCTCTGTTCCTCACTTTGCCATACTTGCCCTTCATCACATTAATTATCTGTCCACAATAGAGATAAATCAGCACAAGTTGCTCAGAATGAAGGAATTGCAAATATCTTTTCTAATGTCTGGTTAGGGGACCTCTCCTTTTTTATCAGCAAAAACTGGATATTGATGGATGAAATTTAATTAAGACAAGTAACTAGACCAGAAACCTTCCCACAAATGTAATTCTTTATATTTAATAAAATGGATTCTCTCTCCACCTGATCCCCTTACAACCACAAGTTAAGGTTCAGTTTGTTAAGAAGCAAAGTAAACAAGTAAAATAAAAGAAATTGTATTTGTAGAATCAGCATACATTATGAAAAATTATTGTGGTTATATTTTTATTTAAATAATTTCCAACATATACAAATTATCAATAGCACACCAATAAATGTAATTCAGCTCAGGGGAGAATATATCTCATGTACTTGCTATGTGTGCATGAAAGTCAGAGTATAGATCTTAAAATTCACATAAAATGCAGGCATGGTACATGCATACCTGGGACCCCAGTACTGATAGCAACAGAGACACAAGGATTTCTGGGCCTTGGTCTTTTTCAGAAAACATGTGGTCTGTGTTCAGAAAGAGACCTAACCTCAAATGAATAAGGTAGAGTTGGAAGATGATGCCCTTCTCTGGCCTCTGCATGTGTGCGCCTACACATACATTGCACATACACTGCATCCCTATATACACATATGCAAAAATAAATAAGTAAAATTGGTCAATTTTCTTCCTCTGTATCTGGCACTTATTTAAGTACTGTTATGTGTCAGGAACTATTAGTAGCATTGGGGACATACAATTTAAATTCCTGCTAAGGCTTTGTGTAAATGTGAGCTCTGTAGTACAGTTGGCCAAGGCAGAGGAAATCCATCAGAAAAGTCAAGGGACAAATGCCAGTGACATAAAAGGAAAGAAACTAGGAAGACATCAATAAAACACCCAATATTTAGCACACCAAGAAACCATTTACGCTGCCACATTTTTGTAATTCTCCATTTTAAAGATTTCAAGATTTTCTCCTGTAGGTCCAAAAACCCACAATCCTATTCTCTATTCTAACAACCAAGATGCTAATGATACAGCTTTGTATTGTTGGGTCTGTGTTTCCTTGGCTTTTTGGTTTAAAGGAAAACGAGGACTAAGGGAAAAGGAGGTTTTAATATGGCTTCTCAACTCCTCCTACTGATGATGTCCTTGGAAAACACAAATCGGCCTTTTATTTGTTATTTTTTAACCATTTTTGAGTAAAGAAAATACACCTTGTTTTAGAATGTACCATTGTGAACCGCGATGCCTAACACTCAGTGTGCTAGCTGATCCCTTTGATTGTTCTTCTAACAGTTAAGATCAACTAATTTCCAGCCAACAATTCACCAACTTTACTCAAATGAATTTCATAGTATTCCTGACTGCTTTTAATCTAGAAATACTTTTTTTAGTAAGTCACTGTATATTTATATTGATCTAGAATGTGTAAATACATCTTTTATTTAATTTGTTAAATTATATTATTTGAATTGATTTCTTTTTTTTGCCAAAAAAAAAAGAACTACAAAACAGAACCCTGACTGAGTTTGATTTCCAGAACCATGATGGAAGAAGAAACCAACTTCTGAAAGTTGTACTCTGACCTCCACATATGTGCGGTTACATGCTTTGGCTCCCTGCCACTATAATAAATAAACAAACAGAAAAGTAAACAAACCATCAGATATTCTCATTTTTAAAATGAGATACTGAATAATTGTATAATTCTGTCTTCCACAAAAATACTAGAATTTTCTTTATTGCTGAAATACCTATCAGTAGATTGTTTTCTCCACCTGTACTGTTATACTTATTATAATAACAGGCATAAGTCAATGGACCTAGTGGTTCAGATGAAAGTTTTACCTCTTGCGAGTCTGAGGTAGTAGGAGAATAAAGAATGCAGCCCTGCCTAAACAATTCAGTGAGACCACGTCTTATGAACCTTTTAAAAGTTAAGTGACTGAGTCTTGCCTAGTACATGAGTGGTCCTAAGTCAATCTGCAGAATTGAGAAAGAAGAAAGAAAGAAGAAAGAAAGAGCCATGTGAAGAGATGGATGGAGGAAGGAAGGATGGAAGAAAGAAAGGAGGGGAAAGAGAGAAAAAAAGCTTTTTTCAAATGAAAATATATTTAAGTAGAAGACAAAATCTAATGACTGTAATGCGGTCATGGTGATGGAACCTGATAAAAGTGTAGAACAGCCCTTGTTTTGTGGGATAGTGCAGTGGGCAGCAGGAGTTCAGAGTGGCCAGCATGGCACTAGGACAGAAGCAGAAGAACAATGGCACCCAAACTGAGTAAGAGTAGTTAGTACTTCTCAAACAGCATGAAGTTGCGCTTTTTCAAGACATATGCATACATAATGTACATGCATTATACATATACAAACTTATATACATGTACTCATATTTTTATATTTTAAACATACATTTAAATAAGATATAAACACTTTTATTAATTTATTATTAAATTTTAAAATTGTTTCATTTATTACTTGAGAACTTCACACATGCATACAGTGTATTTTGGTCATACACATCCCTCCGTCTTCTTCCTCCACATACCAAATTCTTCCATCACATACCCATCCCACCTTTAGACAGGGATAGGGCCTTATGAGCCCCTCCTTGATCCATGATGGGATGATGGTTGACTTGAGTTCATATATTTCTTGAGCAGGTAAAATGGCTGCTGTGAATTCATAGGTGTAATGGTCCCTTCATGTCAAGAGGACAGGGTTTTGTATCTGTTTTCTCTTAACTATATGACTCTTAGGATCTTTCTTTTCCACCTTCTTCTTTTCCCTGACCCTTGGGGTGAGGGAATGATATCAATGTCTCATGTAGGACTGAGCACTTCACAATCGCTTATTTTATGCCCTTGACAGTTGTTAGTCACTGTATTAACTGCCAGCCACTGTAAAAAAAAATATATGTTTATCGGATGAGACCCACAGCTACATTATACTTAAGTATTTCTATAAGACATCTCATTATGATCCTTAGTATAAAATCATTCTACTTAAAAAAAACATTAACACACTCTGAAGTCAGCATTGCACTTACTAAATGGTATAAACATTAACCCTATAATAATAAATATAGCTCTAAATGGGACATCTATATCACACTCAGCTCCCAGAAGCTCAGGGATCATCAGGGAAAAGGAGACAGAAAGACTGTAAGAGTCATTGTCTGGGGATGTGTGCCGTGAGATAGTATTGGTCAGGAAAGGCAATGCCATTGTATATCTGAACTCATAGCATCTGTGACTGCATGTCTGTGACCTACACAAGAGTGAGTCATTCAGAATCCTGGCATGGATGAGCTTATGGAGTTCACTCTTGTCTGGAACTATGGACGACTGGCTGTGGGAGGGGTCCATTTTATTTAGGCATGTGGTTACTTAGAGGTTACCAATGAACTAGTAGATGACCCTTCAACTAAAAACATACAGCAACACTAAGTGGACTCAGGGTTTACAAACCTAGCACATGAAGTTGGGAGGGCAAAGTGATTTGGGATATAGAGAAGGGATTGTAGGTGAGGGAAGGGGGGCTGAATTTGATCAAGCACATTATAAGCATGCATGAAATTGTCAAACAGCAAAAGTATAGCTAAAAATAAATTTTAAAGTGTCTCCGTGCTTGTTTTACACACATTCAAAATTATTTCCATAAGATAAATTCATTTATTCACATTTTTCTGAAATGTCAGGTCATGATTAATAAACTATTATACACCCTTTCTTTACTTTTCCATTTATAGTTCTATATGGTTTCCTGAATAGCTGAAAGAGCTCTGGCCTAGTACGCAGAATTCACCATAGCCTTCCAAATAAGGGCTTCTTATACTCCAGACACTCACAACTTGGAGTTTAATCTTTGTTCCCTTTACCATCATGGACCACGACTCTTCTAGCCTTCTACAATTGCCTGGTTCTTCTGAGGTTCACACTTCTGTACAATCTACCTTTTTCACTACCTCCATGTAGTCCCTATGGACCCCAGACTAAAGTTTTGATCCATATTGTTAGTAGACTTGTGCTTAC